ACTATAATAAGAAAGATGGGGAAATTATAGTAGGCAAATTTGCAAGACACCTCAGAGGAGTTGTAATGATAGGTGTACACATTGCCTCTATCACTAGATTAAAATCCATCTTCTTAATCTTTATACAAAACTGAACAATCTCAAACCGAGATCAAGGTGCGGAGAAGGCACCTGATGATGCCTTTTGTTAATGTGTTAATGAACTTAATGTCATAAAAAAGTCATATAGGCTCCCAGACAAAATCTTTTACCTGAACCTGTATACTTTCCAATGATAATGCTTTTCAAAGATTGAAACTTAAATTAAAATATGAAAAGAAGAGGTGGGTAGATAGGGATTCTTGGTAGCTGTTCATCTGCTAATTGGGACTATTTTTTTAATCCTTATTAAGACTACTTATACATTTTGAAGCAAGTAAGGCTTTTGTGTCTTTTGTCCTTTTTTTCTAATTTTGATTTTTTGTCTTTATCTGCACAATGACTTATCTGCTAATTTGAAAGCTACTCTAACCTGTGCCATTCATCACARGAACATCTCAGAGGGTCTTGGAAATGTTTCAAGTTTTAACAATCAGAGACTTAACCTGTTTTTTCTCATGTAAGTTACCTGCCTAGACATACTAGGAAGACAAACACTGAATAACAGGAGYTGAATAATAATAGTAATGAAGAATTTTGCATGAGAAATAAAACCTGGTAAAATCATGTCTTTTGTTGTAGATTGCTGAGATACTTTACCAGTGTAAGGAAAAGARTGTCGACATTTGTCAGGCTATCCTCCATAAATTAGAATTACTGTGCAGGGGAAGCCTTAGCTGCTGTAACTATCCCTGCAACAACAGCTATTTTATTGTGGGGCTTTTTAAAATTTGAAATATGTGGGGCTCTTTGGGGGTACATTTTTGCACTTTAAGTCTCTTATTTTCTTACTTGATCTTTATGTTCCATTATCAAAATTCTTAWGTCTTGGCCTAATCACTTTTTCTGGTTTACTTGTCAATTTAAAGGAAAAACCAGGGGGGAAAATGAATTGGTTTGTTTGTGCTGTGTGTTGTTTGGGGTTTTTTTAAAACTAATTTGTTTCAGAATTTTTCAGAATGGTGGAAGGTTGACAGCCTAGGAAATGAAAGCATCAGTACATCTTTTCTCAGACTATTTTGGTAGTATGTTTTGTCCCTGACCTTGAGAAGCCACCTCTGCATATGAGAGGATGGCTCATTCAGTCCTTGTCCTTTTTGCTAGGACTACCATCAACATTGMTAATTATAGTAACAGGTTTGTGATGTGGGTACTTTTCCCCTGAAAACGGGTCAAATTCATTTCATAGAGGCCATAAATCAGCCATTAGTGGGTACCAAGTTTTATCCACCACCACTTTAACTTATGTTGTAGCTGGACAGTGCAGTAGTGTTTTTCTCTTGCATCCTATTTCATTTTTAATGTTCTTCTTGCGGCCACAAAAAGTTCCCAACTGTTTATATTTCCATTGGATCTCAGACCCTTTTCTCCTGAAACTCAGTTGCCTATTTTCAGTCATAAGAAACTAAACCTGCATGAGTTGAAG